TGAGACCCGGTCTCGCATGGACCTGGCTCAGTCGGAGCTTGACATCTACCTCAGCCGCCACAACACGGCTCTGACACAGCTCAACACGGCCAAGCAGACGCTTCAGACGACTTCTGACACGCTGCGTGAGCGCCGTGCGGCCATCAAAGACCTGGAAGTCAAAATACCCCAGAAAGAACAGGAGCTCAAAAAGGTAAAAAGCTCAACCTTGTTTAAATCGCTTTTGTTACGGCATTTCCATGGGACATGTTATACCTTACTACTGTAAGTATCCAGCTGGTGCTCACTATATCTGAAGTTAATTTGCTCCTTTTTCTTTTTCCTCCTCAGGATGAAGGAGCGCTGGAGCAGCTGATGAAGGCGGACAGCGAGACGAGGGAAGTGGTGAGGGAGATGAGGCAGAAGGTGGACGAAGCCAAGAGCTCTCTGTCCTCCAACCGCAGTCGAGGACGAGTCCTGGACGCCCTCATGCAGCAGAAGAAGAGTGGCAGAATCCCCGGCATCTTCGGAAGATTGGTAAAACACTGTTATAACATAACTCATGGTCATCTAGCTATGGTGTGCATCGTGGCTATATAATAACACCAATTCCGCCTTTACAAATGTATTTAACTTTTAAGCATTCATGGTCTGGAATAAAAAGCAGAAGTGTCATCATTTTTGTTGTTGTGCATGTAGGGAGACCTCGGAGCCATTGAAGAGAAGTATGACGTGGCCATTTCCTCTAGTTGTGGCGCCTTGGACAACATCCTAGTGGATACCATCGATACGGCTCAGAAATGTGTCATGTTCCTCAAAGAGCAAAACATCGGGTTCGCCACCTTCATTGGTCTCGACAAGGTAACAGTCATCGCACTCCGGGGTGTGTAGAGAGTGAGTCATTATGGAGGGATTGGTTTGAATATCATACATGCTACACTCTAGTACTGACTTCAGTAGGTGGTCATGGGAGTTGGTTATACATTTACTAAGCTTTAAAACAATAATAAATGATATCCTCATCTCGCTGCGCTGTCTCAGACCTCCTCACTTCCTTCTTTGTTTTTCCAGATGAAGGTGTGGGAGAGAAACATGGCTCCCATTCGCACTCCGGAGGACTGCCCCCGTCTCTTTGACATGGTGCGTGTGAAGGATGCGAGCGTGCGACCGGCTTTCTACTTCGCCCTGAGGGACACCCTGGTGGCCCAGGACATGGAGCAGGCCACACGGATGGCCTTCCAAAAAGACAAGCGCTGGAGAGTGGTCACCCTGAAGGGACAGATCATTGAGATGGCTGGTGGGTGGCCCACTCTCAGGAAAGATACTACATCCTGTTTTTACAAGTCTGTTTTTAATCTCTCTGTGGTGTGACTGTGCTTCACAGGAACCATGACTGGAGGAGGACGACCACTGAAGGGCCGGATGGGCTCCTCTATTGGTGCTGAGGTGTCCCAGGAGGAGGTCCGTTTCTATCACACGTCTTACAGTAGAACATTGGCCCGAACTGGCCAACAATTCTTAGATTCTAACTCCTCGTTAACAGAGTTTGTTCAGATGAATGGCTGCATTTATACACCTTTGCCTGCTTTGTAGAACACAGAGGCAGCTGAACCATGAGAAGTGCTTCATGTTATATTTATACCAAGACGGGCTTCTTAAACATTAACATAACGAGTAGGCATACTGTCCACAAGAGAGTAATAGAATAACTCAAAAAGCAGATTAGATTATATATATATATCCTTTAATTCCCGCCGTTAGCGAGTATTATTTAAGTTTTACCATGAGCACGTTATAAGAAGTAATTCTGAGACGCTGGATGAAAATGGAACCCGTTGTTAGACGATCCCCACAGCAGGCTGTTGGAATACGAGGCTAATGATGCTTTTCATGTGTTTTCTGCAGCTCGACCTTATGGAGAGCAAGCTGAATGAGAAGGTGTCAAAGCTGCAGGACTGCCAGGAGAAACGGCTGCAGCTAGAAGAGAGCGTCCAGCGCCTGAGGCCACAGCTCCGAGATATGAAGAACACGCTGGAAAAATACGCCAAAAGCATGACTGTACGGCAAATACACGTCTTCCTGTTCAGCCACTGAGTTTGTGTCTCGCTCATTTGGGGATGTTAATGTTGACCCCTACTACTCCATAGCCATCCGTAACACGTTTCCTTCTGTCCTTCCTTCAGAGTCTGGCTGATCAGGAGGCTCACTTGAAACTTCAGATCAAGGAACTTGAGGCCAATGTGCTGGCTGCTGCCCCGGACAAGGCCAAACAGAAACAGCTGGAGAAGAGCCTGGAGGCCTTCAAGAAAGGTAGGCTCATTGTTAAATATGTTAATAAGTTCATTTTGAATCATCATTCTCTGCTATTCCGTTCTCCCTTCATAACCCTCTCCTCCTCCTCAGACTATGAGGCGGCGTCCAGCAGGGCTGGGAAGGTGGAGAGCGAGGTGAAACGGCTCCACACCCTCATCGTAGACATCAACAGCCACAAGCTGAAGGCTCAGCAGGACAAGCTCGACAAGATCAACAAGGAGCTAGACGACTGCTCCTCCACCATAACCAAGGCCAAAGTAGCCATAAAGACCGCTGACCGGTGAGGAAACGCATGTTCAAGCTCTGTAGTTACCCGTTTGCATTGTTCACACACATTGAGGAAACACCCGTTACGTTGATGTACTTGAACTCACCTGCTGAGATCCTTGTAACCACTCTGACAGAGGCCGATGTCTGTCTTTTGTCCCCTTTGTAGCAACCTGAAGAAGTGTGAGGAGAGTGTGAGTCGTGTGCAGGCCGAGCTGGAGGAGAATCAGAAGTCCATGGCTGAGCTCACTGAGCACCTGAAGAAACTGGAAGACGAGGCCGGGGAGGTCATGAAGGCCTGTCAGGAGGCTGAGGTCGGCACTCTTAACTTTTCTTACTGTTTAAGGTTCATTGTTTTTGTTTTAGACAGATTTTCACAGAAAAACATTATATTTTATACCAGTATTAGTTTTCTGCTCCATTCTTGACAGCAGTTTATCGTCTTTTTGCAGTGTACATAGCTTCTGATCAAGCAGGAAAACTACAATAAACAGTTGAAATACGATTTTAGACTTTGTAGAATGGCCACGTCTCGCTTACTTCTAAGTCCAAAGTGAAACAAGCTGACTACCGCACTTCTTTCTTGTCCTCCAGGCCGCGCTTCCTGAGGTGCAGCAGCAGTACCAGGGGGTGTTGAAGGAGATAAAGGTCCTGCAGCAGCAAGAGCACGCCATGCAGGAGGAGTCGCTCAGCGTGCGGCTGCGCATCGAACAGATCGAGACCAACATCACGGAACACAACAACAAAATCAAACACTGGCAGAAAGAGGTGGGTGATGAAGTGTGAGCTACGACTTCTCTTAGTAACGATAACGTTCTACTAACCGAAGTAATAGTGGAGAAGCAGGAGATCTGCGACATTACGGACGATTGGTCTAACGAGCAATAAAAGCTTCTCGAACATTACTTTCTCAAGTAATTCTTTATTTTATAGTAATTCTCTCCTGATGCGGTTTGAATGAGTCATTTTAGGGGCTCTGCTGTAATTTGGCAGTTTTAAATTGAAATGTGCTCTGTATTAAAAATGGTGTTCAAGATTTCAGATGTCTTTTTGTTTTTCCTGAAATAAAGGCAGGTTTTTAACTTTTTTTTTTTTTTCCGTTATTGAATGGTTGGATGTTAGTTAGTTGTGTCCACATTGATGATCTGTAGAGTAATGTGTTTTACCATCGTGTCTCATCTTTATATTCTTCAGGCCACCAAGCTGTCCATTCATACTATTGAGGGAGAGCCAGCCGAGGAACTTCCTGTTCTTACGTCTGCTGAACTCGAAGAAATCTCCAATCCCAACATCATCATCAACAAGATGATCACTCTGGAGACCAAGAGCGCTCAGATGAAGCCCAACCTCGGGGCCATTGCCGAGTACAAGAAGAAGGTACAAACAGGCCTCCTTCTGGCTAACCTTTAGTCATAAGTCTTTAGTTCACAGCAACGATGTCAACGTGTGTGTGTGTGTGTGTGTGTGTGTGTGTGTGTGTGTGTGTGTGTGTTCAGGAGGAGCTGTACCTGCAGCGCGTGGCTCAGCTGGACGAGATCACCACAGAGAGGGACCGGTTCAAACGGGGCTACGAGGACCTGCGCAAGCAGCACCTCAACGAGTTCATGAGCGGATTCAACATGATCACGAACAAGCTGAAGGAGAACTACCAGATGCTCACACTGGGTGGCGATGCCGAGCTAGAGCTGGTGGACAGTTTAGACCCCTTCTCTGAGGGAATCATGTTCAGGTAAAGAGAGAGGAGACAAAACAGACCAAAGGCTCATGTGTTGATTCCTGTTTGCTGCTTGTTCAATCGCGTCCTTTCTTGTTTTGAGCTCAGATTTTCTGTTTCCCGCTCTTTAGTGTGCGTCCTCCAAAGAAGAGCTGGAAGAAGATCTTCAACCTGTCGGGAGGGGAAAAGACCCTCAGCTCCTTGGCCTTGGTGTTCGCTCTGCACCACTACAAGCCCACGCCGCTCTACTTCATGGACGAGATAGATGCTGCCCTCGACTTCAAGAACGTCTCCATTGTGGCCTGTTACATTTATGTGAGCGTCGACCTGTTTATTAAGCAATGAGACGAGCTACACGGTGAAGTCATGGGCTCAAGATCTCTCTCTCTCTCTCTCTCTCTCTCAGGGCCAAAGTACGTTTTTAGTAGGAAGGTGGTGTAATGATAGTCAACAAGAAGTAGAAGTAATTAAACATTCAGCCGGTTAATTCTCAGAGCTGTTGAGCTAATCTGTGCTGTTGCGTAACACTGGATTAAAGGGGGAGTTCAGACAAATCGCCTGTTTTTCGGGAGTGTGGATCAAAACAAAGTACTAAGCATTTAACTGTGAGCCTCCACCGGGCCTGCACTTTTTGAATATTTACTTCATTCTTCAGGTTACATTTTAACAGCACCAGGCTGTACTTGATTGAGACGACGGCTTCTAACCTCAGTCTCTCTCCAGATCAGTCATTTTGTTTTCTTTCCCTCGTCTCTGTGCAGGAGCAAACAAAGAACGCTCAGTTCATCATCATCTCCCTGAGGAACAACATGTTTGAGATCGCAGATCGTCTCATCGGCATCTACAAAACTCACAACACCACCAAGAGCGTGGGAATCAACCCCAAGACCATCGTGTTCAAAGAGCACGATGCCGTCACTGCTTAGAGGGCTCCTGTTCATTTTTTACTTTTCACACATTATGTAAATATTTGTCTTAGCCTTGTCCTTTATGATGGAATGCTGCTATTCTTTAACTCTCTGTACTTTTTAACTATCTGAACCAATAAATGTTTTCTGGCAAGATCTTTTCCTTAATGCAAATGCACAAACATAACCGTCACTTTGAATAGATTGAAATTGAACCTGAAGTGTGGACAGACAAACATCTAATATTTTTTCAGTCACTGAACTGATCAGAGAAAGTCAAAGATATTTTTATTACATTTTGTTCTGTAAATGTAATTAAGTCTCATGACAGGCCGACCTGTAGATTCCTAAACTTATGCAAGTCAATTTCAGTACCCCGGTAATAAACCGAGCTCCAATGGTCAGCTCGCTGGTTGCATTTAAAATAAATGTTACAACTCCAACACCAATAGTCAAGATTTGTCTAGTTTGCACACATGTTCTGCTGAGGTCAGCTGATTCTTGGACACACAATATTTCACACTACAAAGACAACTGTAGCGAGCGTCAGCTAATGGAGCTCACAGCACCACTTTAAAACATACGGCAACACTAATTGACTCGTGGCCCGTCATGCAGTGTCACACTGATGGCTTTTATTTTTATTTTAATGAATACGACACAAAACAAAGCATTTAAAATACAGTAACAAGTTTAGAAAAATACAACTGATCAAAATGTCTTCAGTATGTGATACTTGCAGTAGCATATACACCAACTATAGTTTGCATAATACTTGTGTACATGATATTTAGGGCGGTTGCACCGCTGCCTCACAGCTCTGTGTGGAATGTGCATATTCTCTCCGTGTCAGCTCGGGTTCTCTGGCTTCCTCCCACAGTCTGAAACATGCAAGTTGGGTTAATTGAAGACTCTAAATAATTATATATATATGCCCAGCAACAGCTATTAAAGATAATAAATGGAAGATATTTTGGAATGCAGCTCGGCGTTCTGGTATTTCACAGATACTCAAGTTGGTGGTTCTGTGAAGATCTGTCCTGCTGACGACATCTTGAGTTGTAGAAAGCTATTGGTCCTGGTGGTGATGCAGTCTACTACAATAAGACTATTATATAGTTTCTATATTGGCTATTATAAGTAGGGTGAGGTTAAGGCGTGGTGGTTAAAGGCACAGCAAGGTAGCCACTGAGAGCTGAGCATCACTGCAACATGATCTCAGGTCCAGAGTGTATCTGGTTCCACTCTCCAGGCTCTAGGGTTCACATACAGCTCCGGTCCCTGTAGACCTGTGTAAGGAGATACATGTGCAGCTGAACTCAAGTCCTAAGCACTGAAATGTCCCACTGCATCTTGGGAAAGGTGACTCACTTACACATTTTTGTAAACCTATGATAAAAACATCTTGTTTGATATGATTAATGCTGATTAGTTAGACAGTATAAAGATAGAAGAATATACCATAAATAGGAACACTAGACAATTAAATATACAAAAAGATGTACGGCTACATAAACGGATACATTTTTTTTTTTAAAGAACGTCTGTTTACCAATTGCCTGAATTTTTCCAGGACAATAGCAGGAGTTTAAAGGGGTATTAAGGAGTATTTTCCCTTTACTACAGGAGTGTGGAAGTAAAGCTTTGTCAGCCTCTACATGTATGTCGAGGGTTCCAGTTTCAGTGGGATGTCAGAGTTTTAAATAAGGCAGCCAGCTGCTGGGAGGCCTTTTCCCCCACTGAGGAGAGGTGAGCGCTCCATCTTTCCACAGCGGCCTCCAGCACCGTGTACGCTGATCCCGCCGTGTCCCAGACCGATGTGACCAGTTCACTGCTCAGGCCGTGGACCGACTGACTAAACCGAGAGAGCACAGAGAAACCGAGCGACGCCCCTCCGACCGGGTTGACCCACAGTGCCGTCAGCAGCAGCAGCAGCCCCAGCAGCAGCAACGAGAAGGTGGGCCGCAGTTCCCACCACAAGTTCTGCGCCCAGCCGTCGGACGGATCCCTTCCTCCGGCTTCGGTTTCTACGCCGCCACATCTGGTGCAGCAGCACACCTTAGGGACGGGCGCTTCCTCCAGGCTCCCGATGGTCACGGCGGGCCAGTGCTGCTGCAGGTGCTCTGCTGCCCGCGGAGTGACGGAGAGGTTGATCACCGAGGGCAGAGGGGCTTTAATGAACCCTTCAACCCTCTCTCTGAATAAATGGACCTGCTCCAGGAAGACCAGCGGGGAGTCCTCCTCCTCTACTGATGAACCCAGGGACACCAGGTCCAACTGTTCTTCCTGCAGGAAACATGATGGTTATCGGGGCTTTTATTTTCGTAATTACGACAGGGAAACTCATATATATCCGACATTACGCCTAATAACTTCGAGGTGCCTAAAAACCAAAACAACATGGATGCCTCACGTTATCAATGAAAGTAGCTAAATCCAACTTCAATGGATATTTCGCTTGTCCATATTACCTGTCCATGCTAAAGTATCTTAGTTAATCCACTCAAGGATGGGAAACAGTCCCTAAATAAGTGACGACGATGATGTGCGCTATGATCTGATGTAAATCGGCCATTAGCCCTGAAACACACCTGTAGTGCCTTCACTGTGTGAATGAGGGGGTCGTAGGCCCGGGACACCTCTGCACCGGCTTTATCCAGGGCCTCCAGGTAGGCGTGTCTCTTGCGAGCCAGCACCACCTCCAGCGCCTGAAAGAACTGATTGACCTCCTGCTGGTCCTGCCTCACTAGACCCTCACAGCGGGCCTTCTCCTGCTCCAGCTGCACCCCCAGCTCACACACCTAACAGCAGGACAGAGGGCAGGTAACATTTCCAAATGAACACACCACACATGCTTTTCAGAGTATCTTTTCAGCCCGATTGCAGCCACATTGACAGGATTCCCTACCTGTGTCCATCTCTGCTCAGAGAGTCTGGCCAGCAGCAGCGATGGAGTCTGTTTCTCTCTGATGAACGCTGCCTGGAGGTCATCTATGGGATGGCCCTGGTGCTGCCCGACAGTCAGACACAGCCCGCAGATCAGCTGGCGGTCCTGGATGCAGTACATGTTCAGAGGCTGCCTGTGGTGCTCCTGACAGGAAGGGTGTTGCGGCGCACTGTCGCTCTGGTACTGGAGATAGCAGACGAGCACAAACTTAAGCAGCAAAGCATATAAAGCAATAAGAGGATTCTTAGACCGATAGGTAGCATAAAGGATGAAGGATGACTCTCTCCTACTTTCTCGATGATGGCTCGCAGAGATACGTTGGTGGGCAGAGAGTCTACGCCCATCGGGGGCAGCTCTACCACGCTGCGGCAGTTGGGGCATTTTAGCGGCAGGCGGAGCGGACGCCAGATGGAGTAGTTGGTGGACAACCGGAGCAAGTTGTCCAGGCAGTTCTTACAGAAGGTGTGCGAGCACGGCAGGACGCGTGGGTCAGAGAACAGCGAGTAGCACACAGAGCACGTCAGGTCTTCCTCCAGGTTGTCCATGGTGGAGGCTAGAGGCCCGGTTCAGGACTGAGGATTAGGGAGACGAAGATCTGGCAGGACGGAGGAAAAGCTACGCGTTCAGCAAAACACATCAACTCGCTGCAACTGTCAAGTGAGCGTAACCTAGTGAAGACCTAAAAGAATGTCATTGGGTTCAGAGTCAATTAACACAAAAATTGAACTATTTTGATAATGAATTATTGTTCAATTTGTTTTCCAAGCAGTTGAAGGTCTCAGCAGTTTGATGTAAAACCTTCTTCTTGTCGTATATAAAACAATATCTTTGTGTTTTGGACTGTTGGTCAGATATAACAAGACATGTGAAGAGGAAAAATAGGCTTTTTCCCTATTTTCTGACATTTTATATAAAAAATGATTAGTTGTGAAAATAGATAAAACGTGGGAACACATGTACAATCTATTACAATACAATACAACAGCTCTGTCATAAATTCTACCTGTACAAAGCTCATTATGAGCAATGTGTAAATTCAATTATATATCTATTACCGAGGTCAAAAGGTGATGTTATGCTGGAAGACTACATTATAATGTGGTGTTCCTGATATTCTGTCCTCCCTATTTACAAACTATATTTCTCTATGACGGGGTCATAAAAGTAGACTTTATGGTGGAACTGTATTGCATTAGATTGTACAGGTGTATCTAATGAAAAGGCCCCTGAATGCATCATTAGTGTTTCCCTATTAACAGCATGGATTGCCTCATTCAAGTAAGTCTAACCATCCTGTACTGAAAAACAAGAGAACAGCCAAAAAAGGGCTCAGCCCCTATTAGAGGATCAGTTATATAGTGAGGTGTGTGCGCGCGCTCTCTCCTCTAGTTACATCTAGCACCGCAGTGACAATAGGAGGCCTTCTGCCAGCACCCACCCAGTCCCAACACACAAACACACATTGTGTGGTCAGGACAGGCTGCAGAGTTGTGCAACTGACCCCAAAAACCCGAATCCATTTATGCAGTTAAACTACAGCCGATTTGGCGCCCAGAATCAAACAGGTAACGTTTTAAGCGTTCATTATGATCAATTAATTCATTTTAGACATGTATCCACTTGGTACATTTAAAACTTTACAGCTTTATATTTTTTTTTCCGCATTTTCTGGGAATTGTCAATTGTTTTGTTGGCTGTTCTGGTCAACTTTGCAGAAACAGTTGCGTCAGTTTTATTTATTTATTTATAATCACGAGACCGTTAACCGCAGTTTTATTTCAAAAGTCACATAAGAAGCATCAATTTATGGCTTCAAGATACGTTATTTTAGAGACACCTTCAACAACCATAAAATATATTTCCCACATGATAAATAGTATTTTATAAAGGTTTAATTTAAACTAACGTTACCGTGTCACTCCCATACCAGTAACGCTAGACACATCAACAGCTGTTGCAGCTTCTCTCTCAGCGACCCGTCAGACATTTTTTGTCTTCGAATTTAACATTTACACATTTCTATCTTGGTGACAACGTATACAATTTAGAAAGATGTTTTTAAAGCGAGAAACCTTTAGTTAAACACTCACCGTATGCACGGAGGAAAGAGTCTGCCCCAAAACAGTTTTCATTTCCTGTTCCTCAAGGTGCTGCCTTCAAGTGCCCTCAGTAAAGTCGTACTTGCTGAAGGCAGAGGTAGGCGGATATGCTAAAACTTTTGGAGCACATTTAAATGCTTGCGTAGAAAATAGGAAAAAAGTAAACGTTTTGCGATGTTTTCAGACTTAAGTTAACCAGCTATTCTTTCAAAAGACATGTGTCACTATTGCCACCCAGCCTTTTTGGTGCGCGTGGGTGTCACTAACGTACTCCAGTCTTAACAGCTACTTCTCCGATAGTTTCGAATGCATCATTTATATTTCCTGTACTACGCATGCGTATAAACTCGTCTCTCTGGCCAATCAGGCTGCACTTTTATATTTGAATCCAAACTCAACCTTTTTAAGAAAGTGGAAATAAACGCATGAGGATTAAACGCACCACTTCGTCACAACAGACCACACACACACACACACACACAGTCTCTCGTTTTGGGTTTCACTATTTATTTTCTCGAAGACAACCTATCCTGTAGCCTATCTCCCAAAAAGGTTTTTTGGACAAAACACTTTTTTTTACCTTCCATGTCATAATTTTAGATTTGAAACCACATGTTTGCTTACAAGGAATGCTGCAAAAAAAAAAAAAAAAAAAAATACCCCTATGTTCAACAGAAGGTTTATGAGCACAATGTGTAATCATTTACTACAGTGTTTGAAGTTAACACAAAAAAATGGAAAAGGGTAAGCTTGTACACCTAGCTGGTATAAGAGGAAATGAGTATGGGGCCAAGGACTGCAAGGTACTAAAAGGTACAGCAAACTTGTTCATGGGTTATTTATTATTTAGGAGAACCCACTTAGGACAACTCCAGTCTGACATGTGGGATACCCTTTGACCTGGAGGAAAAGGGAGGCTAATTCCCCTCTTAGTCTAGCCAAGATAAATTAGCAGATTCCTTGCTGCTGCTCCTTAAACAAAGTCATTATTTTCTCATGTATCACTAAAAAGCATCATTGGATTACTCTAGAAAGACAACAAAGATTGTGGTTGAGTGATGCATATTGTAGAGGTCGTTGGCAGGTCAAAACCTATGAAACCGACCAACACGCCCTCAGAAAGACTTCAGGCCTCACTTTGCAGTATATGTGCAAAACCATAGATTATTTAGCAAATCTGACACTAGTGAGGGATAAGGGAAGGGTAAACATGTAACATTTAAGCACAGTTTTACTTAAAATGAAAATTACACTGTATCCACAGCCTAAGGAAACTAAAATACCCTAAAAAAAATAACTGTGCTATAGTTTAGTACATGCAAATGTTATGATTCACAATCCTATGTGAGCCATTGCTCTCTTCTCCCTTGGTGATAAGTCAAAGCTATGGCAGCAACACTGCAAAGCAGTGAGTTTGCTGTGAATTGAATGAAAAGTAATGAAGTGTCACAAGGGGAACAGGTCATTTGGTTGATTATAGTGATGGTGTCAGAATTTCACAGCATCAAGCCCATGTCTGGTGCGTAGGTTAGGGTTCTGGTGGAGTACGATCGTCGTCAATCACCTTTACAGAAGCAATGAAACTAAAAGCTGAAAATTAAAATTAAAAAAAAAGATCATAAAAAGGAACACACTGGAGGCAAAAAGAAAAGCCCAAAAGCCACCGAATGCATCTTAATACAATGCACTGCTGCTCCACACCTGCCAATAGCATTGTCCAGTGTCAATTAATACTAACTTAACAATAATTCAAAACAAAAAAAAATTATCCTTGCGATGATGATTTTTTTTTTCTCATATCCAAAGTTCTTCCTTTCAGGGATTTGCGGTTCAGCCTCTCTTTCGAAGGCAGAATTTCTTTTCCTGAAACCTTGGCTAACCTCATTGTTGCAATTTTCTCTCTCTCTCCAGATGTTGTATTTGTATTTTTATTTTTTTTATTTCCCGTCTCTGCATGCGTTCTCACCCAGTCACGCATACTCCCAGTCACGCACGCAGCCAAGCACACAACAACTCATCCGTCCACTCTCTTGCACATGCGACACACGCACAGCCAGACTCCTGGCCCCGCCCACCAGGGGGAGAGGATGGTGCCCTGTCGGGGCGTCTCGGAGGAGATGAACCTGGCTCCTGAGAGTCCAGACATTCATACACAATGGGTCCATTCACACACATGTCTGATAGCGTGGCCGATTGGGGGAGGGGCACATTGGTGGCGCCCTCTCTAGTCGGAGGACCGCAGAATTGCGATGGTTTCGTGGTTCATCTCAGTTCATAATTTAAGTTATTTTCATTTCTGCCTTTTGTTGTATTGTAATATTTCGAGATCTCTTGTTTTCGTATTTTTGGATGTCCTTGGTTCTCCCTGGGCAGACATCGAGTTTTTTTGTTGATGTTTGAAGTAGATTTCCGAAGGCGACAGCTCCAATAACAGCAGTTATGTCGGCATGTCTCTCAACGCATTCGATGTAGATGTTTTGCTTTTTTTGCAACATGTAGCCACTCATTCTCACTCGCATCCACTCGCCATCTCAAACTTCATTTGGGCTGGTTCCCCTGGAATGCCAAATGAAATCCACACATTTTTCTCTCAGATAAGATGCAGCCATGGATCCCACGAGCCAAGCACAATGGATCAAATTTCTCACACTCTCGCTCTCTCTCGCTCTCTCTCTCCTAATTTTTTTATGTTGAACAGAGTGCTGCATCGTGAACAAAACTCCAGAATACCCCAGATGCCGTCTAGAACTGGAACCCCTCGGCTGGCACGTTGGCGGAGTTGAAGCCGTAAGTTCCACCTTGGATGGCCTCTGGGACCAGGCTGGTGTCTTCATCAATCTGAGTGAGAAGACGAAGCCACCGGGCGTTAACAATGTACAGCGGACATGACAGGAGATCAAACACTAGTGGGTTTCATTGCATCGGGAGACAACATTCAGCAAGTCAAAAGCCACTTTTCAAATCACAACTGTGGTGAGAAAATCAACTTTTACTTGTAACTTACGTCGTCAGATGAGAAGAATTGATCAATAATTTCGTATGCCAATTTGTAGATATCTTCGTTTTCATGATTCTGCAGTTGCTCCACTTTTTCCAAACCTGCCGATTAGAAATGAACAAATGTTACACCGTTCAATCAGACGCGACCACCTATTAACACAAATATGGCAAAACCGTGATGACATAATCGGGACTTGCCTCCACATTCCTCAATGAGGTTAGCAATCGTTTCAGCCTCATCATCGGCCATCTTTAGGATATTGCTCAGGCCGTCAAGAACAACCTGCACCACCTGGGCGTCCTTCACGGTCAGCAGGTTGCAGAACGGCGGGATCACCTGCTTCTCAATCAGGTGGGCCACCTGCAGGCAGCAGGGAGACAATGAGGTAACTCACATGTTAGAAGGAAGGAATACTTCAACAGTGGTTCTACATTTATAATTCAGGAGTTTCAGTTTTTCATGACTCAAATTTATTTTAAGAAAAAATGGCCAAACTTGATTCCATTGTAAGACTCTTACCTGATCTTTCCTCCCACTTATTGTGAGGTTGCTGATGGCCCAGGCTGCTTCCTTCTGAGTGCCAAAGTCACCCTAAAAAAAAGTGCATTCAAAGTCAGCGATACATATTTTAACCTCTACGTTCTTCAACAATAATCGTACATGATATGCTTTGCCTTCACACGGTTTATAAAGATGGATACACACCTTGTCGAGCAGGTGAATGATCATGGCAACTAGCTTGGCGTCAATGACGGCCTGCACCTGCTGCTGGTTGCCTGCTGTGATGTTGGACAGGAACCACACCGCCTCCTACAGGACAGACAACACAACTCCAGTCAGTTCAGAGTCACAACAGTCGTCTGCCGTGTAAAGTCAAGCCACGGAGGTTTAAGTGTATTCAGGTTTTATCTCAACCAAAGAAGCCAGAAGATGCAACTGTGTCACACCTTCAATTGGAGATGTGGAACATGCCTGCTTAAGACTTTGTCATGTTTCATTCATAATCACTTTTCCAAAATGAGTTTTTGGGTCTGAACTGGATCAGAATCCAGAGGTCGACACTGAAAGTGTCAACTCTGGTCAAGACAACGTGCTATGGGAGGGGCTAGGGCGTTTTTTGAGGCTCTAATCATCGTCCAGGTCACAAAGTGGGCCTCATTTGTAAGTGACTGGTCTCAGATGCACTCCGATATCAGCAGAGACACGTGGTCTTCAGCACCCTCTGGCCACCAACCCATGGTATCACACATACAATCACTTGCACACAGACAACCTTACCCACCCCCCCCCCCCCCAATCTGTCTCACTAACTACAATTAACCCCCCCACCGAGTCTTCTTCGTCGTCTTCATCCTCGCGATTCTCCATGTTGCGAATTCCTACAATTGTCTATTTGTCCCGTCTAGACCTTTCATACAGCACTCGTACTAGCACCAAGTCTCTGATTTCATCACTTCCAGACAACGCGTCTCGCAGTAGACGGGGGCGTGTAAGCATGTAGGAGGAGGAAGACGAAGCAGAGAATGCATTACCTTGTTGATTTTCTCCTTCGGGTGTGTGAGGAGTGCAGGGAAGTGGCTGAGAGCATCACAGTTGAGCACCACCTGGGTCTGTTCATCTGTGCCAGTGACTATGTTCCCAACAGCCCTCAGGGCAGCGGTCTGGATGCGGAGAGGCAGTGTAGAATTGTTATAATACAATGTCATCTCTAGGGTCCATGCCTGAAGTGTTATTAACCTAATCCCAAACATAGTCGGTGTCTCTTCATACCTGAACTTTGACTTCCTGGTGACTGAGCAGAGGTACCAGATGAGGGACAATGCCGGAGTCGATGACCATTTGGATCTGCTCGTTCCCAGCGTCCGTCAGATAGGACAGAGCCCACACCGTGTCTACCAAGATCTAGAGGCAACACAGAATAAACAGAAGCTAATGCATACATTCTCCATCCTGGACCACTTCTGAAGTTAACAGCCATCATCTAACATTATCATTAAGAGAGAGATTGTGTGGAAATAGAGCTCTGCTAATAGGCAAGTTAGGCCAAGACACCAAAGTCACTAAAAAAAACCAGATGAAAACAGATTCAGTCTACTCACACTGACATCAGTGTGGTGGATCAGCACACAGAGAGCTGGCAGGATCTGAGAAAATAAAGAAGAAGACGACAGGCGGGATCATTAGTGGAGAAGAGGACGACAAAATAAATCAACATGGTTCCCATGTGGCGGACATCAGTAAACGGTTAATAGTTGAAGTGGCTGCACGACTCTCTGCTCTGCGACTCTTTAATTCATTTCAACACACAACAGCAACACACCAATCTTGTTCTCATTTAACCAGCTTAGGTAGACCACAGATGGAGTTCCGTCTCTCCGCCTCTCTCCCCCCGCCAGCCAATAAACACACATCTCATAGATTTTAGGAGAGATGAGCATTCACAGCAGCAGGCAGAAAGAAAAGAAAGAATTTCCTCCTCGCGGGTGTATGTCTAAACCAACCAGTGAAACTGCAGTTCCCATCCCGTCTCTCTCCAAAATGGCATCACTTCACATTTGTGTGGAACGGTCATAATTAGCATATTCATTTTTGAGCAATGACCAAAAATGTGGAGGCATAAAAACCCAAGAATTCACGATTCAGAATATCTTGCTTCTGCAAATGCATTTACAAAAGAAGACAACATTATTAATCTGCATTAACAACCACTGGCTTCCCACTCAAACAGTTGCTCTACACAAACACACACCTCCTGGATGGTCTCCATGGGCGGTGGAGGGTCCTTGTGGCGGCACAGATTGACCATGACCCAGGTGACATTGCGGAGGAAGGTGATGGGGATGGAGGGACTGATGAAGGAGAGCAGGGGCTTAACCACACCCAGGCTGATCACATAGTCTCTGCATTGAGGGCCATCACCTGGAAAGAGCACACACAGACAGATGAAGCGCATGTTTACGCGGGACTGACTGTATTTATTTCGAACACACTCATGTTCACTCTAAAAGCGACTTACCTATGATGTTGCCCAGGGCCCAGACCGCCTGTTCGCACACATTCTGGTGAGGAGAGCGAAGCAGCCTCAGGAACAGCGGCACAGCATCTACACAAAGGAAACAGACACGTACCAATCATGTACACGGGCTGCTCATGATCGTTGCTTCTATTCAAGTATGAGATATATTTGCAAGAGATATAACGGTTACACTTTAAAACTTGTAATCGTCCGATGACGCACACTAAATCACCACTTGGACTCTGGACTCCTGATTTGGACACGGCCGTGTTTGCACTTTGCTTTAAATGCAATTGAGCCACAACATGCTAATAAAAAGAGAGACGTAGAGGCAGAGAAGGAAAACATCTCAGGTTGATTTGATGTATATTTATTGATTTGAGTACTTCAATTCCGTTATGCTCCAGCTCAGTGAAAGTGCTGCCATTTAGTGTGATCAATCACAACCTCTGAATGAAACAAAGATCAACTTTGGAGAAGCAGGCAGCTCAGTTTAGAAAGAATAAATCACATCCAACACAAGCGAATGAAATGAAGTCTGCAGTTTTTCATAACATTCCGTTTCACAACATTCCGCCATATTATTTTAATAATGATGTTCTAGCATTGAAAAAGACTACAGAAAAGAGCTTGAAAGAAAGTTTTGTGATAAAATGGCACTTACTGGACTGGACCACAGCTTGGGTCTGCTCTGAAGTACCAGATGCTATGTTGGTCAGAGCCCAGGCGGCCTCAAACTGGAGAGATGGGCTGTCAAAAGGTGAGAGGTGGATGAAGGCCGCGGTTAAATCGAGTCGACTGGGCAGTGGTGTCCAACAGTACGCGCATGCTGATGACTCATACTTTTTCTGCCATTCCTGGCAGGTGGAAACTAGAAGCCATTTATATAACTGCTACAGATGCACACTGGGCTAAACCCTGCTCGCTCATTTGCATAACTTTGAAGTGAACATAAACTCAACATGATGGGGGGAAGAAGGAAAAAAAAAAAAACCACTAGCTTGTACTGTGATTATCACAAATGGAAGAGCGTGATGCACTGCTACATGCAGACAAACAAGAATCACAGCCTGCTTACTTGTCATCTCTGTCCAGGCAGTGGACCAGTATAGGAAGGATCCCAGACTTAATCAGGTCATCTATGGGAGGGTTACGGTCACTGGACAACAACTTCCTACAAAAACAAAAGAGGACACAAGAGACCATTACTCACACGCATACCTTTACTGACACACAGACACAAACAGCGAAAGAATGCGGAGCGTCTTCACATTGTAAGTCAATCACAATCCCTGTGACTAGACAGGAAAGGTCACCCTGCTCAGGATGTCAACATCACACAACGGCGGTGTTGTGTGATGTTGGTAATGCTGCAGAGCAGACTTAAATTGGGAAAAGGAACAGAAGACAAACTGATAAAAAAAAAATAATAGAGAAGTATGTTTCATGATTTCAGCTGCCTCACGCTGTACATGACCTACACTACTGAGCTGCAGTGCCATTAACAACGTCCATTAATCAGACGGGGCTGACTTACTGTAAATCTCGGCGGTCTAACCGAGATGGAAAAAACATCCAGCACTTGAAAATTCAACACTGGATTTTGCAAGAGGCCGAGGATTTTAATCAGAGAAACTCTTAAGACCCAAGTATTGGTGTACTGGTGCAGAATCTCTGACTCACAGATACCAGATAGACCAGACGTGAAGCTGGATTACTACTGTTAGAATATTAAACTGCATCAATGTAGTTTATTCATAGTGACAATTAGGTTTGAGTGGTAACATGACGGTGACAGCATTGACTTGATATTTACGCGCAACAATAGACAATTCCACATGTCAAAACGTAACTCTTATACTCATTGAATGAATTTAACTAGAATAATAGTGAAATCAAACACATTGTTTATTTAAAACAATTAATTTATGTCTTTGTCACAGCTGTAGTTTGGATTATACAGAACGTCTCCTCAACAGTTCTGCACTCTGCGGTAGCGGCGCTACTTCTGAAAAACTGCTCAAATCTAATTTATCATAAAATCTTGTAGTCGGTCCTCTTTGCTTTCACTGTGAATATCATTATTACAACATGATAAATGTGACACTAAATAATTATAAAAAGACAATTAACAATGTGAATTATTCACAATCGACGGGTATGAAGTGAAGTGATAATCAGTAGAGCGTGAGGGTGTGTGTTCATACCTGGCAGCCTGAACAGCACTCAGCTGGATGCCTTGATTATCACTGGTGGCATTCTAGAGAACATAAGGATGCAAGTTTAATTCTGATGCATAATACACACGTCTAGATGACTAAGAAGAAGAAGAAATAAAAGCAAACATCTCACTTACTTGTACTATTGCTTCAAGAGAAGTGTTTTGCTGAAAAAGAAACATTTCAGAGAGTCATCAGTCTACGATTGTGCTTTGACACACATTTGTAACTAAAACCGTGTGTTACATCAAAAGTTACACGATACAGTAACAGGCACATTTTAAACCGGTGGCTCATGATTAGGAAATCCCAAAAGGGCGATGCAGTGACTTGCATCCTCACTTGAACCAATGTGGCATAAACAGTCAGCCGGCTGGGCGCGAAGGACAGCATTCAGGGTGATAATTGGCCAACCTGCAAGCTCACCTGATGCCCTCTACGGGGAGTTCAGGGCCCAGTGGAGGCTGTAGTGTGTAGAGCACTAGTCTAACTTCCAATCAAGCACCGAGCGTGACTGTAGGCCCAATTATTTAAAGCTGGCCAAAGCCTCCGTTAGCCAGCAGCTGCAGCTGATTGCCTGTGCACCCTCAAATAAAAGGGAGGCGGTAGACTTGCAACAAACGTCAATCCAGAAGTGAAAAACATTCAAACACAACCCTGCATACACAATATGCATGATACAATGAGAAGAAACATTTGTTGAGGGAAAGTGACAATTTAGGAAACATCTCATGTCGGAAAAGGGGAATATGTAGTCTAACAAGCTCAGCAGGCCCACATTTGTCACAAGCAATGTGTTATTCTGAGAAATTTTCATTTAAGCTTTAAATTCTAAATAATAATAATGAGCGCAGGGCTTAATGTTTCCCTCAGTTATGTTAAGATCAGTACTAACCCAAGAATAAAGCGCTTTAAAATTGGTCATAATTCAAGGGCTAATTTTCAGGGTAATATTTGCATTGCAAAAGGTTTTCAGTATGTATCGCAACTATGACCATAACTAGAACTATTACCACCAAAATGTATTGTAATATTAGCACAGGAAAAGACTAAATTTATGTTTTTTTTCACATTCCTGTCCCACCCAACTGACGTTGAGCAAGCAGAGCCATGGAGGCAGCATCACAGGGACAAAATATCAGTTCGTCCTAAACCTTTAAGAGTGTTTAACTAGTGAGATAAAGCTAATGTGCCGAACCCCTCGGTCAAACATTTATGGCAAGCTTTCATTCCCAGTGTTCAGGAATTCCTTACAGGAACTATACAATCCTCTGCCGTGAAAACACAAAACCTCAAAATATGTGAACTTGATTTTGTGGCGGCAGCAGACACGTTTTGAGCAGAGGATGCACGACCGTACCGATCTGAAATCTCCGTCGACATCCGAGTCCTCGCAGATGTCCTCGTGGGGCACATTTCTCCTCTTCAGAAGGTGCTCATCTCTTTTGTTCTGTGGTGGAGGGGAAATAAATATCACTCGGTGCACATTCCAGCAGAAATTCTTGACAACAAGAAAAACTCTGCATCTTTCAGTACATGATTTCAAAGATAATGCAGATAAAAAGGACAGAATATAATGTAGATGTATGTATCACAAAACAATACAAACATATTTACCTTTCTGAGTTCCACCACTACCTCAGTCCTCTGTCTTCTCATAGTCTGTGGGACAGATAGCATATTGACGTTATACAACAAGGAACTTTAATCCCAACCTGCCGTTGCCCAAGAGGGTGACACTACCTAGAAAAGTAAATTTAGGCAGTCTGAGATCATGATTCCTTTTTTTATACGACCACAGTTGATCTGCAGTATCAGTTATATAAAGGAGCATTGAGTCAACTGCCCAAACTCTGCAAATGAAAGCACTCAAACACACTTAACACGAGTCTGACCTAATATTAGCTAAATTACTCCAAGACTATTGTATGGGCCCTAACCCCCTTATTCTTTTTATATACATATATATACCATTTTTATTCATGTTCTGCCCATAAAATCATCTAGTTACAATTTCTTAGCCAGCAAAAACTACTGCAGTCCTGCAGGAAGTCCTTCAGAAAGGTTGCAATGTTCAATTTTTGTTTGTTGAAACGGTTTTAGAGGTGCCGATTCTGCTCTGTGGTCTTTATTATAGACTGCAGTTTGTGCTTCTGACCAAATGTAGATTTATATCACAAAAATATACAATTCAACAGCACCACAAACAGCCTCCAAAATGGCCATGAAGAAGAATTAATCTCTCGCTAAAACCGTTTCAACAAAGAATGTGGCATTATATCCCTTGTGAATGCAGGATTTATTGCAGGAATGCTGCATTCGGTTTAGCTAGGTGTACCTAATAAACTGCCCACTGAATATACGGTTTATTATATCGCTCATGTTATGAGCAGACAGGTGTTATTAATTGCAGTTTAAGAGTATATGCTTGTGTTCATCACCGACAGACCACCATGGTGACGATAAGTTATTAACAGCTCGCTAGATGTCACAACTCATGTCTTGTGGCCTAACGTTAGCTTGCAACACAAACTACTCGTCAAACAGGATGTGCGAGTATGTCATGCTCATACACATATTCACAGAGTCCGCCTGAAAACAACAAACATCCCCTGCTAACATTAGAGCAGTGGCACGCTGAGCTGTAAATCACCTTGTAACTTATGGATCCAACGTGAGCTAACGTGTAGCATTGATCTAACGTTAGAAGTCATGTGATCGTGTTAATGAACAGGTCGCATTAACCTTGTTTTATAACCATGAGTAACGTCGTTGATAAACCACGGAATAAAATTGTGATACTACGCCATGATTTAAAAAGATCCAGATAACCGGCCGGCTAAGAGGCTAACTGGTTTCCGCCATTGTTTTTGGTGATGAAGACGGGGGATGGGTGGAACTGCAGCCACCAGCACCACCGAGCTTAATGGTAGCTAGCGAGCCAAGCTAGCACGCAGGTTAGCTAACTGCAGCATCAAAATACCGTTGATCTGCCGCTGTGTTAACAATCAAATACCCCCACACACAACCTAGAAGCAAACTAACGGTATATGCACTTTTGGATGTGTCGTAATTATTTCCCACCTCGACCTAAACCGAGCCGGTGACTATATGCTTCAGTTACGCTAGCATGTCCCCCGTGGGCCTGGGTTAGCATTAAGCTAGCAGAGCACATCAAGCGGAGGCGATGAACTCTGACGAGCATTTCTGACACGTTTTATAACCAACGCGGTCTCGTGCTGTACCAAAACCAGTGAAACAAAAAACCAAAACATCCGAACCAATGCAAGCGATCTATAACCGGCGGTGTGTGAAGGCCCCGGCTAAAGGCTTTGGGTAAAAAGTTCCCGATGGTGGGAATTAGAAACGACGTCACAAGGAAGCGAAGCTGGCCGTTAACAGAGCGGCGGTGCCGAGGAATCCTCGACACCAACCTACATAACTTTTACCTCCAAATCACGGCCCTTATTCTTGAAATTCTTCAGCCGCTGGTTGTCCAGTTTCTCGTTGTCAGCCATGTTAGCGGGTTCTGGTTACGATAAATACAGTCTAACTCGTGGATTTAGCTTGGTGAGCTATACACTCTTCTGGTTCCCTTTCTCAGCCTTTCGTTAGCGGACTATTTTTTTGCTGCTCTGTCCGCGGTGCACACTGGGATTGCCGGTGGTGGAGGGCAGCCTCGCTCTGGTGTAGCGGAAGGGTGGGGAAATCCCCTTCACTCTCATTGGCTTCAGTGTGAACGTCTCTCTGCAGGGCGCGCCACATAACAAGATACGAACTCACGTCTGATCGTCGTATTCAAAGACAGTTATCCACCTTATTATTATTATTATTCACATGTGTATTTTGTATTTTAAATACCCGTTGAAGGAAGTACTTTTATTCAAGTACTACACTACAAGTACAATGTTGAGTATTTTATATATTTGTTCCCACTACATAATTTTTACTTGTATTTATTTTACAGCTAGTCTTCTTTTCCAATTAAGAATTACGTATAAAATACAATGTAATCTTAATATGACGCACTTTTTTACTGATCAATACGTTCTACTCCGTTGTCTTTGTTGTTCTTGTGTTCATATTTTATATTTTCTTGTTTATTTATATATTCTATGTACAGTGCTTGCATAAGTATTCACCCCCCTTGGATGTTTCATCCTTTTGTTGCTTTTATACATGAAATGATGGTCAGTATAATCTGGCTTTTTTGACAAGATTTTGCGAAAAGAAAACCTCTTTAATATCAAAGTGAAAACAGATTTTTACAAAATAATATCAGTTAACTAAAAATATAGAAGGTAAAGTAAAGATTGCATAAGTATTCACCCCCTTCAGGTCAGTATTTAGTAAATGCACCTTTGGCTGCAATCACAGCACTGAGTGTGTGTGTGGATATGTCTCACTCAGGCTGGCACATCTGGACACTCAGATTTTTCTCTATTCTTCTTCAAAACAGCTCAAGCTCTGTCAGGTTGCTCAGGGATCGGGCGTGAACAGCTCTTCTCAAGTCCAGCCACAGATTCTGGATTGGATTGAGGTCTGGGCTTTGACTTGGCCACTCCAGAACATTCACATTCTGTGTAGCTTTTGCTGTATGCTTGGGGTCGTTGTCTTGCTGGAGAATAAATCTTCTCCCAAGTCGTAGTTCTCTTGCAGACTGAGTCAGATTATCCTCCAGGATTTGGCGATATCTTTCTGCATTCATGTCCCCCTCTACCTTTACAAGCCTTCCAGGGCCTGCTGCTGAGAAGCATCCCCAGAGCATGATGCTGCCACCACCATGCTTCACGGTGGACATGATGCGTTTGTGGTGATGTGCAGTGTTTGGTGTTCACCAAACATAGCGTCTAGTCTGATGGCCAAAAAGCTAAATTTTTGTCTCATCAGACCAAAGAACCTTCTTCCAATTGACCTTGGAGTCTCCCACATGCCTTTGGGCAAATTCTTTCTACAGTGTCTTTCTCTTTGCCACTCTCCCTATACAGCTTCGACTGGTGAAGAGCCAGGGCAACAGTTGCTGTATGTACAGTCTCTCCCATCTGAGTCACTGAAGCTTTGAACTCCTTCAGAGTGGTCCTAGGTGTCTTGGTGGCCTCCCTCATCAGTCCTCTTCTTGCCCGGTCACTCAGTTTGTGAGGACGGCCAGCTCTAGGAGATTTAAACAAGTGCCATACTCCTTCCAATTCTTAATGATGGACTGAACTGAACTCTGTGGGACGTCCAGTGAGTTGGAAATATTTTTGTAGCCATCTCCTGACTTGTACTTTTCAATGATCTTTTCTCTGAGTTGCTTGGAGTGTTATTTTGTCTTCATGTTGCAATTGTAGCAGGAATACTGATGAACCAGAGACTGGACCTCCCAGACAGGTGTTTTTATACTAAATTCACTTGACACACATCAACTGCACTCAGGTCATCTCCATTTCACTACTTGTGACACTGCTGGCATCAACTAGCTGGACTTCTGTTGAATTAGGTCAGTCACTTTAAAGGGGGTGAATACTTATGCAAACACTTATTTTACACTATATATTTTAATTAATTGACATTAGTTTGTAAAAATCTGTTTTCACTTTGACATGAAAGAAGCTTTTTTTGCAAATTCTTGACAAAAAAGCCAAATTATACTGACCATGATTTCATGTATAAAAGCAACAAAAGGGGAAAACATCCAAGGGGAGTGAATACTTATGCAAGGCACTGTATGTATGTTGAGAGCAACGTGAAAACCGGAGTCAAATTCCTTGTATGCGTTCACATACATGGCCAATAAAGCTGATTCTGATTCTAATTCTAATTCTATAAACAAGGCTCGATTACCACCTGGGCAAAAAAGACGAGACAAAATAAGATAATTACATTTTTACTGAAGGAAATTGTTGGGCAGCAGTTGCTAGTTTTTATCAATAAAGTTGCAAGTATACATATATCAATAAACATATATCCAAAATCCCAAAAGAGTATAATATCAAATCAACTACTGACAATGGTTGATTCAAGAAGCTTAATGAAGTTCAAAACTAATACTCAATAGATCTTTTGTGATTTGATCAACTGCAATTTGATTGATAGGTAGCTTTTATTGTTATACAATATTTATTGCTAAATTCCTAATTTTTGTTCCCGCCAGTGTTTTCTTGTAACACAAAGAAGGAATATTCTGCTAAAAGTACAATAACTTTGGAAGACACCCATGTGATTTCACTGAGTAATATTGCTGAAGCCACAGGCTGTATTGGATTACATGCCTTATCTCTTACAGTCAGTGTGGACAGGAAGAACAGTTACCGTGACCAATAACTCTTTCAATGTACATATGGGCATGTGAGTATTGTTTTACGAAAGACTTGTAAAAAAGTGTGCGTATATCCTTTACGGCCCTGTATAGTCTTGTATAGGCCCTGTGTCAAAATCCAAGATTTTGAATTTCAGGACCCAGAAGCACCTTATTTGATTACAGATATTTTACCATTTTTATTTTATTGCAACAAATAAACAAAACAACACTGAAACGCAAACATGACATTGACACGCATGTTCAAAACATGACGTGAATAAATAAATAGAAAGCACAACAAGTGTTTTATACAAATGAACACAAATAAGATAATGCACAATTAGAGAACATGTCTTTGTGCCACAGAATCTTGAATCTTGTGCCAGTTTTCTACATGTGAACCCTCTCAGACTGAATTATCACAAACGGCTCATATCAGCTTGTGACACACCGCCTGTCATAACCTGACATTACTCGCAGCATCCTCATGGGTTATCACAATGGTCCAAAGATACCTTGTCTTCCCCAGGACTGAGTAAAAGTGCTTTCTGCCACAGAGATTAACACTTTGAGTTGTGATAATCTCATCCCCTTTTTTATCACCTCCTCTCATTTAATCCTATAGAAGCCACAGTGAGGCCATTTGCTGATGACTTACACTGGCAGGCGAGAGGAATCATGCTGTTTGAATGAATCTTCAAAAAAGACTTTCATCCATCATCTGCTGCAGAGCAAGACTTGTTTCGCAGCTGTGACACTGAAGCCCTTAGACTTCATCTTAATCTTAAAATCTTCCTGAGTCTGTTTAAATGGAGTCTTCATCAGATACACTATCCTCCTGAAACCTTCCTCTAGTCCCGTGCCGGTGGTAGCTGAACAGGGCTGGATGAACCAGGCCCGGCCCTCGCACGCTCTTCTCAAGTCCAGTGTCAGGCAAAGCGCTTCTGGGCTTCGAGCTGCCTGGAGGTCCTGTTTGTTGGCAAGGACCACGAGAGGAACTCCTCTGAGACTCTCGAACTTTAGGACCTATAGTAAGTGGAAACGAGGAAGTGAAGAACGCTTTAATTACTACAATGTAAAACAAACTTTTTAGATGGACGGGTTTATTGCGTTTAACCCACCTATTCAGCTCAACCATATGTGGTTCAATGTGCTATAACACACTGTAATTTAGTTGTAAACTGAGTTAAGGACATTTTTAATGTTTTTAATGCAAACAATTATAAATCAAGCAACAAATATTCTGTGATTTAATTACCCGATGAAGTTCCTTGCGGGCCTCATCCAGCCGTTTCTGATCCCAGCTGTCCACCACAAACACCAGTCCGGCTGTATCAGTATAGTGATGCCTCCAATGGGGCCTCATCTTCTTCTGGCCCCCCACGTCCCACACCGTCAGGCCCGGGCTGCTCCTGTCGGTCTCCAGTGTCTCCACGTTGAAGCCCACTGTTGGAACGGTCACCACGCTCTCGTTGTACTTTAGCTTATAGAGCAGGGTGGTCTTTCCTGATCCATCCAGACCCAGCATCAGGACCTGTGCTTGTTTCTGAGGCTTGGATCCATGCATGCCCATGTCCTAAAATTGTAGCTTGTGTCTATGTTGAAAATAAGCAGGCTTTTTCTTTTTGTACAGCTGTGTAAACCGAGCTGCCTGCACCCAGTGGCTCCTTTTGTACAGTCTATCTGTAGGCTTAGTGTCTCCGCTCTCTTATGGAGACTGTCTACAATCAGCATGCTTTATGTACGGACAAGCAGAGGGATCCCTCCCCTTTGTAGAGATGGGAGTACTTTTGTCCCTGCGTAGCTTTCAGTAAAGCTATTTATATCCAAAGTGACGGTGCAACTAACTGCGTACAGTTCTCTGGTTACCACAGTACGGTCGGAGGAGTCGCATCACACCTGCTGCAGATCATCATACAAACCAGCAGCCAGGAAGTCCATGTACAACGGGAGGATTGTTGTTTCTTCCTGGCTAGATGTGTTGTAGCAATGACATCACAGGGACATTTTGGAGGATTACTGGCCCCGGACTGTCGGGTAAATGTAGTTTTATCTTTGGACAGAAAGCTCTCAGTAAAAATATCTTCTAGGAATTTGTTATTAATCTCAAATGAATAACAATGTAACAGGTTTTGAATTATTATGATTAACTATAGCGCTGCACAAACTTGTACTACAGTAGGACTGGACAATATGATCCAAGTGATAAATTCTCACAATTAGTACAATACCAATAAATATAACAGTATCTATTTTTTTTCTTCAAAAACATCTGATTTGTTTGCCCTAATTATTACTGTATGACCACTTGACATTGTAACATTTCTGGGTATATGTCACTAGTTTTCAAAGCTATTCTGTTTTCTTTAATGGGATTCTGACAAATGAATGACTAGTATATAATATGATAAAACTTGGATTGATCAGATAATTGTAACAGCTCAGCCCTAATATAATAGTACATGTGGACTGAATATCTTCTGGTGGCCCAGAAGGTGGCACACAATGACTAAAACCAAGCTTTTCAAGGGTCCTTGTCTGATTTCTATAAATTTTTTAATCTCTTTCACTGCTTTTTCTGTCTTTAAACAAAAACAATAAACCATGACAGAGAACATTATGGAAAAACGAAGCGAAAGAACAAGCTCTCGAGATATTTACAGCAAATTTTAATGTTGGTGTTTTTGTTAAGTCTTTTTTGTATGATATAGATATACAGATTATATTCTCTACATACATTTAAAAAAAAAAACACAGACGCAGAGAAAATGATCATTTATCATTTTAATGTTACCTTTTTCATTTTTCATGTCTTTTACAGTTTATTAAAATCAACAAAAACAAGTACAAATGCCACATAAACACTCTGTAAGGTACATTATCAAGGGAGAATGTGAACTGAAAAAGCACAAACAGTTTTTATCTGATATATATCTCTGAAGTTAAACAATCCAGGAACAGGCGCATTGCTTTCTTCGTTGCTGTGTAAACAGTGGATGGGTGATAATAACATGAGGACGGTATGTACATTCATCTTACAATTTCATATCTCTTGGAGACATTTCTTTCCACAATGTTATTCCACATGTGAGTTAACAAGGTCCGACACAGACGTCGTGCAGTGTGCATGGCATGATCCACTGCATTACATTAAAAACCGAGAAGTCGTTTTTGCAGCAGACTTCATAACGGGTAATTAATGGTTAAGAAAATAAGGCAAAATAACGTGTTTCATTCCTTGTTACATTTTGAGTTATAGGTCAGGGAAATGTGATATGTGTGAGGATAAATATGACATGGCGTTAACAGAAGACGTAACAGTAAGCTGTCAATTTCTGTACATTTATATCTTGCGTCGATTGTAGTGAATGATAATGTCAGACGAGTCAGATGAAGGAATAGCAAGTCAATGTGTAAAAGAGAAGCCTATTAAAAGGCTTCTAAACTTTACATGCTTATCTTAATTCCTAAATAATATTAAATGTATAACTGCCAATTATTATATGTGATAACTCAATTATTACCTTCTTCTTACAAGTTTAAATTAACAGTCAGTTATTATATTATCAGATGGCATGTGACAAACTTTGTGATTTAATAATTAGCAGTTAAGAGTCACAATGAGATGTTACAACATTATCACCACAAGGTATTGCTTTAAAAAAGTTGTAAGCTATGCTGCATTATCCAACAGTTATTATCAGTAGTTACATGGATTATGATAAGGTTCGGGATCTAACAAGAGTCTCAGCTTTAAAAATAATCTTTAACTTTAGCAACAATAAAAACAGAAAAAGACTTTATCCGCACAGAAACTAACAGCAATCATTTAAAGTAAGCTAAGACATTCAAGATCTAAACTTGTAAAATTGGGCAACTCCAGACAAAACACCTAATTCATCCGTACATCAGGAGTTTCAATGTTCAGCAAGTGTGATATGACCATTGTAATTGGTTCTATTGCTGTACAGTATGACTGGTGATATTTGAACAAGCATATGCATATTATCATTCGTGTTGTTTATGTATAAAGGGAATAAATTCATAGTTGCACCATGACGTGTATCTGATAAAATAACCTTTTCAGTGCAGTCACTCAGTAAATGTCAATTTACAATTGAATGACGTGGAAACACAATCGGGAAACTAAAAACAACAACAATTAGTGGTCAAATCGACATTGAGGGAAAGACCACCTTTGAAATATTGTGGAAATAAAACTCCATTTTCTTACAAGTGTCACTTTTTCAGCAGTAAAAGTAGAGGAGGGGTGGTTTGATGCACTGAAAGGTTAACATATGTAAATGTAATAGAAATAGTTGTCACTCAAAACGTTGGGGACTCAGTTTTTAAATCTTTCGTCAAGCCTACTTTATTCTTACTCCTATTCAAACATAATATAGATACTGTGTGTGGTAGACGGGTGGTCTACTGTTCGCTGGACTTGCCTTTAAACTTGACCACCATCACGGTGATGTTGTCAGGACAGCCACGATAGAAGGACTGGAGGACTATGCTCTTAGCGCCAAAATGAGGCTCGCCCAGTCGTTCCCTGATGAAGCGAACCGCCTCCTCGTTGCTGAAGGTGTCCCACAGGCCGTCCGACGCCAGGATCATGAACTCCGGCTGCAGCTTGTTCAGGTCAAACGTCATGATGTCCGGATCAGGAATGACCACATTGAGGTTCTTCAGGGGGTAATCGCCCAGAGAACGGGACATAGCCAAGATGCCCTGGACACGCCACGAGCCGTTGAAGCTGATGAACCCACCTGAGAAGGAACGTAGAAGGGAAATGGTTGGAAAGTGATACAATAGAGAGTAGGAAGTGGCATACAAGGGGGAGCGGGGAGGCGTTAGAAAGAATGCAAGGAAGTGAGGAGGATAGAGGGACACAAAGATTAGAGGAAAAGGAGATAAAGGAGAGAAACAGATGTTTTACATTTTACTGCCATTAGATAAAAGATTATTTTTGTTCCTCTGAACCAACTCGCAAAGACTCTCGTGGTTACCATCAACTATGAGACTGCAGTGTACACATCAAAGTGCAAAAATAATATGGATCAGTGCCATTGGCATGTTTTCACAGTGCTCACCGTTCATGCTCATGGAACGCAATTGTTTATGTTGGATACATTTCAGTTCATGTCACATCCTGCAAGTACAGCTGTGTGTCCTCTACAACTTCAACAGATTTGCAAGCAGGGAATTGTACTGGAAATGATACGATGAAGACTTCCATACTAGGTCAGGATGCCTCCCTCGTTTCTACCAAGCAAGACCGTAGCCGTGATTTTAACCATACTGAGGTTGAGAGTTCAGGGTATAAAAAAAAATCCCATTATCTTTAACTTTCCATTTCTATTATTAGATAACTAAAATACCCCAATTCCCAGAAAAAGCAGAGGACATGACTTCTTTGTCCTCAATAGTTACTTTAGCAGCTACTGCCTCTTTAGATAAATGCCTTAATTAGTAAACATTTCTGCCCTCAGATTACCATTAGACCAATGGCATGTATCTATTAGAAATGATTTATTCAATTATCTAGTTTGTTTTCATTCCTGTACAGTCAGCACTTAGTTCATTGAAAGTGTAACGTTTCTGTCAGAGGAATCAAACGAACTAAATATAAACAATAACATCATATTCGTACGAGAGCCACAGACTGAAATCCCTCCAATAAGTCAAATCGCAAACACATTACACAGTAACACCATTAATAATTGATTAAAAAATCCAAAGAATGACACCAACAATGCATCTTGAGATCCACAGAATCCAATAGTAAAAAGGATATGTAAATTACAAAACAAAAAGAAAATCCATATGGGTCTTATCGTCCCAAATACTTACAGGAAATAATCTTTATCACCTTAAAAAAAAGGAAATTTTAATTGTGAAAGTCAAATGAGGAAAGAAACAAGAACAATAAAATATGAATTACCATTAAGCAAATATCTAGCAAATAGTAAATATTCATATTCAATATTACAAGTGAAATCTTTCTAAGAAACATATTCACTGTATTCTGTGGTGCTTAAAATACATTGGTCTAATTTGGGGGATTTAAAAAAAAAATTGATTATTGATGGTATTTGTGATTTGACTCTTCTGTAATTGGCTGTTGCATCAAGATGTTTCTTTTTCATTCTTTTCTTTTTCTCTTTTCAGTGCATAGACGGCACTTAATTAAGCATTACGGAGTTATACCAGTTTCAAGAAAATCTGGTTTCCCTCGTTTAATATGTAAATGTCTGTAGCAAGGTGCTCCAAGACTGTAATAACATCAGCTCTACCTGTGGAGCAGGTATAAAATTTCTATCATTAATTGTTCTTGAGTATCTGTGTTTACAAGAATGTGTCACAGAGAGACGCACCACCACCGTAGCAAGATAACGCTACCATACGGGAGAGGACTACTGAATAAGCAGTTTTTATTAGTACACCAGTGGTTCCTGTACACGAGACTCGCTGATTAAAACATGAGATGCCCCGCCCCCTCTCACTGAAGTGAACACTGTAGGAAATCATCTGTATCACAATTACAAACATTTTGCACAAATAAGTAAACAGCAACATAATGGAAACTAACTCTGTGAGTTTTTTTTAGTACCCAATCAGACCATTAGATGGAGATGGTGGGCTTTCCTGACAGGGACCAAGCTCACTGACTCATCTGGCAACTTGACATCAAACTCAGCATAGAGAGTATGCAGATAGGGTAGGAAGGAGAATTATGCCTTCAAATACACCTTAAATACTGTGTTCTGTCTGGCTGCTTTTGATAACATGCTGCTTTAGAAGCAGATCGTGTTATCAGTCTCTCGGGTTTGATGTCAGCCTGAGCACAGAGACAAGATGTGGAAAAAGGGATAATGGTGCTTAGCTTTGATCATAAGAAGACTTTGTTTTACGCTTTCATGACAACAATCTGAGTTTTGATGTCCCCTGAAGTGTTAACTACAGCCTTGTTCTGCTGCTCAGAATCAGTTGAGAAAGATCTACTGGTCTGGACTGCAGCTGTTTTCTCACCAGCTTTCTTGATCCTCTTGCGTTCTTTGAGCTGGTAGGGTTTGTGGTCGTGCGAAAGAGGAATGGCGTTGCCGTCTTTATCACAAAGAACTCCACGCGAGTCTCCAACGTTGGCCACCGTCAACTCCTTATCAGACAGCAGGGCCACCAGACACGTAGTACCTGCAAGATGGAGAAAGAGAGATGGAGCAGGTGAAGGAAGTAGATGACATCAGAATTAGACGTGGGCTATGTGTAGTTCGGCCAATATTGAAACAGGGTGCATTTATAGAAACTATTCATGCATAAAATACCAAGACAATAATATATGTTTTTGGCATCCAGCAAATCAAGTACCTGACAAATCATACAACAACAACACTAAGCCTGGCTCACAGCCAGGCTAGTGGCACTGTGAGGCTAAATGCTAGCGTCAGCATGCTAACTGCTCATAATGCCAATGCTAACATGCTGTGTTATGTTAACATGCTAACAATTGCTAACTAGCTCTAAACACAGAGTGAAGCTAAGGCTGATGTCTTCAGTTTCGCAGATATTTGGTCATAAACCAAAGGAGCGGCCAATTTAAATTGACCAGATGATGAGGATCACCAAAGTTATTACAATTCACCCTGAGGGGGACATGAAAGAACCAAATTTCAAGGCAGGCCATTGAATAATTGTCGAGAGATTTCACTCAAAACATAAAATATTAACCTCACTGTAGCGCAAGAGGAATCACCTAATCGTTAGGGTTCATCCTCTGGGGTCCATAAATGTCTGTACAAAATTTCTGTGCAACCCATCAAATAATTGTTGAGATATTTCCATCTGGATCAAAGTGGTGGACCAACTGACACACCGATATTGCCATTCATAGAGCCACGATGGCCAAAATAATCCAATATTGCGATAAACCGGTCCTGCTTAGAAATTAAAACTCGTGGCATTGTCATAACACCCAAACCTAAAGATAGCAAACTTAATTAAAAAAATCAGTAATCTGGGGAGAGAAAAAAAAGTTTAAAAAAATAAATAAAAATAGGTCATCATGTAATTTTCCAAACATATTGAAAACCTTCCAAAATAACATACATACTGCTTTTTCTCAAGTACTTAGGAGTCAATGAAATATTTTAAAAAGGGGAAAAAGGATATGCTGAGGCAGAAAATACTTTCCCTCCTTCCCTCCTGCACTACAGTGAAATCCATGAATCATATGCAAACATTGACAAAACTCTTTGAAGTAACTTTTCTTCCTTGCATTTCTTCTCCTCCTTCCTCTCTTTGTTTAGCTTCCCAGTCAGGCAGAACAGAGTCTGGACTCAGAATCTGAGGCCTATTGTGTGAGATCCAAAGTCCTGTAGAGAAAGAACAGATCTGCCTGTTTGGCCATCTGCTCAAACAGAGAAAAGACAAAACGGGGGGGGGGGGGGGGTAGTGGGTCTTTCTGGTCTGGATCACCCGGACAGAGAGACAAAGAGAGAGAGAAGGTAAAAAATGACCTGGAGGTAGGGGTAAGATTCACACAAAGCTGGTTTAAATGCCATCGCAAGAATGTGGATGACCTACTAACTTTTGAGACTTCCCTAATCCCTTTAAATTTCCACCTCCATCTCGGTGTGATGTTGACTGTCCTGACAGTTTATGTCTCAGGCGGTTGGTGTTAAGCTGAATGAAATAAATCCATCTCTCCCATGAATGGTGTGCTCCCATTCAGTTCACAGTCACCCCGTGCTACCCCTGAGCAGTCACAGTGTGTGAGAAATGAGTTGCGGGGGGGGGGGGGGGTTGATGCAGATGAAATAAAGAGTAAGAGTTGAGGAGGTGTGGAGAGCTAGGAGAAATGAGGAAAAAAGAGAAAAGAGATTACTTCTCAGCAGTACAATGATTTTATTACTCCCATTTATAGCTTTGGGTGAGAAAAAAAGTGATAAACAGGGAAATTAAGAAGGAACAGAAAATAACTACGAGAAGAGCACCAGCTGGTAGCGAGGCTCAGATGAATGAAGTGAATATTGATGCCACTTAATTGTAAATGACTTACTAAATCTTTAACACAGTTTGCCAAAAATCCATTTCTATTAGTTACATCATTGTATGCCTCCTTAATCAGGCTGCACGTGCCTATAGCTGCCATGCTGTCCAGCTAATTATCCTTATCCCATATTCCCATGGCAATAGAGATAATAGACTGAAGTGCCTTCCTTGCACACCCTTCCCCAATTAGCCCCGCCATGCCAAGCACACGTTCAGCATTCCCTATTAAAATGGCACCATGGCCTGCATGCACCCTGTGATCATGCTAATTATTGGCTTAGCTTGGCCAGGCACACCTTCAACACTCCAATAAGATTAACTTCTCAGCCCGACTCCAATTTGTATCATTGCACGAATTCACTGCTTCAGAGCTATAGCAAAACCCCTGGAGAGTACGAGTGTCCATACAGCACCAGAATACGTCCCATGGATTTATGTTCTTCACCGAGCTTGCTTGGCATTTAGGTGAAAAATGAGAGGGCAGGACTGCCACCACCCTGCTCACCTCGGCTCCTTGTCTCAAAGCCTTTCTAAAAAACACTACCTGTCCATTTGTCCACCCACAACTAGAGTTCCCCCCCCCCCCAAGAGCCATCCTGTCTTACCTGACCTCCTTGGACTGTTAACATTTATAGCAATGCTATTTTTAGCATTTTGCACTGGACTTAAACTGCTTTATAAAGTCTGTGCAGCGCTCTGAATTTGTACACTATATGTCACGATGAAGCTTTGAAAATCTCTGCTTTCTATAATGTATCATTCTTTTTTCCATACTTTTCCTTCTATCCCAAATGACTAGCTGCCTCTGGCTCAGCCTTTTTGAAGCCTTAGTGTGAGATTTCGCTTTGGGCTCCTGTGTACATTTTAACCAATTATTCATTCAGAGTGCTTCTTGTTCCCTTTACAATTTTTATGATACAAATGAGTTCGTTTTTTTTCTCTCATAAGCTGCAGTGGCATTGTGGTCATATCTGGGAAAAGCATGTGATCTGACAGGCCAATGGATCTAAGTCTCTCCTCTAATTATGCACAAAGGTTATGGCAACCTTAGCATTGCACTCTTATAACAGTGCTGGACTCCTGATGGACAGTTTTTGAAAAAGGTTTAAAGTTGATGCAGCACAGCCAGAGATTGTCAAAACCTGGTGCGACATTACCCACAATTCAACCCGACAACTGACAGTTCAGTGAGAGATTCAGGTGCGTTATGCTAGTAGCGGCTAATGGAGCTCACTTCTTCTTTTAACTGCACGCCCCAGAAACATGTAGCCTTTAACTCCAACCAACGCTGCCCACTGCGCTTTACAACTCCTTTCATGTACTCAATAGTCCCCAAGACCTGTAAGTCAGTAGAGTTCCCCTTTAAGAGAATCACTCTACGTCCCATTAACACAACCAACCGGGTGAAGAAACATAAAAAAGCACCTCTGTGCCCGGAGTCCTTACACACTTAAACGACTTCTAACACAAAAATCTTTTCATGTGGAGGTCAGATAGTCAGACCACAACATCAAACTTGCAACGACTGGAGATGATAGATAATTTATCACAGTGAAAATCTTTGCCATTTAATGGCCGTGCAGTCACGCAGTGAGCAAGAACCGCTTTAAAACGAGTCTCGTTGTTCAGGAAACTGAGGCATTAGAAATGTAAAAGTCTGCTGCAACAATGAACTGTGTTGTTATATAACCATAACTGTCATATATCAGATGCCAGAGCCTGTCAAACCTGTTTGGATTGTGTCAAATGTTTAATCAACATTATGTTCATGTCTCCAGGCTACACATTTCACAGTTCACTTTTGTCTATACAGCACATTAATTAATAACCGTGTTTCATCTTTTTGCGTATTCTTTGATTTAACTGAACTTGATTTCAGGAACCATTTTGTCTTTTTGTATCCTGCAGCTGCACACTTCTGTGTTCCTCTCTGTTGTCTATCTGTAGGGCCACAATTTGTCACGTGTATCTGTAAAGCAGGATCCAAAATACAGTCAAGGCACTATAATATTGATTATATTATATTACCAACCATAAAAACTTTGATCCATTTGCAATCCTTTATTGTACACCTAAACATCCTTTATCTATTTCAACACGGCAGCTTTCAAAAACGCCTCACTGGATCGCATTCTTTAAGACGCAGCCCTGTGAGCGAGCGAACCACAGACGGAGCTACACGCACCAGCAAGCAGTCTCAATTAATGATATCCACACCGACTTAACTTTGGGTTGAAAAAACACCAACAGTTGCTTTATCTCTATTCCAGTTACACAACACAGATGTGTTTGGTCTTATTATGATAAAAAAAAACAAAAAAACCTGGCAGAATCACAAGTCCTCAGTAAAGTTCATCAATCCCTCAGCTCCACGAGAACCTGTAGGTCCATTTGTATCAAGTCACTGAAGCCTCAGTGTAGCTCAACTTCCAAAGGCATCTATTCAGATCTGTTCTCTACTGTAGCATGAGTCAGACAAATGGAGTAAGTTAAGAATTCTCCTGACCTGTCCATAGTTATTATAGTAACTAAAGTCAGAACAACTAAAGTCAGAAAAAAATACTTTACGATAACGTTCACAGTGAACATAACTGATAGGACCAGTTGTGTCGTCATTATTTGGTGCCACAACAGTCCAAATTCCGTTGCTGTCTTATCGACACACAACATGAACTAAAGGAGGAAACGCTGAAGAGTTTGAACAAACCACTGCAGACTTGCAAACATACTTGGTGTGAACAAACATTAAGTTAGGGGGAGTGGAATGTAAAGAGTCTCTTAAAGTAATGAGACGCTTCACAGAGACAAAACAACAGTCCAAACAAAGACGAACACCGTTGGAGTCAGAGCAGAAAAATGAAATGACTCACAGCTATAACAAAACCACGATGTCAACATTCTGCTCAGAATACTCCTCACAGCAAAGCTGTGAAAAGCAAAGAGTAAATGACTTGTATTTCACAAAATGGAGCTGCACTCTGAAGAGCGTTTTTGAGAACATTGATATTGTCTCTGGCACTTCAGGAAAACCTGGTTTACATTTCTACCAACCAAAGAGGCAGCGGGTTATTATCGGGCTAAACTGTATACAAATACATTTTCTCTCATTACAATATCAATTCTGCTTCCTGGGAGTTCAGCCTTTTGCCCGTAAGACACTGAAATGATGCAATGTGTGTGTGTGTGTGTGTGTGTGTGTGTGTGTGTTCATGTTGTTTGCTTTATGTGGGAAGAGGTCTCATTCTCTACGCATTCACCGTTTTATCTCACCTGTACATAAAACATTATTTTTGTCTAAATACAGTATACAGTATGTTTAATTCCTGGTATGTAAAAAAACATTTTGTATTTTTCTCTTGCAGAAGATGGATGATGAAAATGCTTTTCTCCCCACAAATTCCTGCAATCCTAACCTTTCCTATTGTTCTGTATTTCTGCTGGTAACAACCACTACTGAGTATCGGACTAATGCACTACCGGACACTGTTGGGTGCTTTGCGTGGGTTCAAACGTGTGCCGAGAGACATGCCACCCTGCTGCATAAAGGTTAGTACCTACAGAATACCACACCGCATTACGGAGACTGTTTCCATAATAGACTAAGCTCCTGGACATTCCATCAAAGTCCCATCTCTCTTATCTTTCTTTCAAGCGCTTTTGTTGGCTGATAAACAACACAGAGATAAATGAACAGGGCGATAAATCTGATACGCCGTTGTCCTGGGGACTGGGGGCTGAATTGAGAGCGAGTCTCTCTATTGTCCCTGTCTCTTCCTCCCCTGCCAGCTTAATTTAGGCCCTGATTGCGACAGAAAGCGGGGAGCTGTGCACCCTAAATGATGCGATTGTTGAATCAGATACAGGGACAAGAATGCAGAACAATTACCTGATCAGCAGATTCCCCCCCCCCCCTTGAGCTGCTGACAAGAAAGACAAATACTGCAGCAAATTCAATCCCTTCCTTTCCAATGCTTAGATTCAACAACGCAGGAGCATTTTCATTGTAATGGAGCGCGACTGTAAATGTTTCTATAAGCTCAGTGTCAGGCATTGATAGAAATACTGTATAGTCGGATATGGACAGATCTTTGGAGCCTGGATGCAACAGGCCAAGTAGCTTTAGAACAGAAGTAGACAGAGGGATCAGGAGGGGAGATTTACACCGATCACAAAGAATAAAAAAAAAAAAAAAGAAGTATAAAGAAGTTGAGAGCAGGTGAGTACAAGAAAAAGGGTAATGCATCTGCAGCATATGACCTTTGCTGTTCGGTAATAATCGACGGTCGCCTCCAGGTCTAATTCTTCACTTTAACAATCAGTGTATCATATGACCCATCGTTCTCTCGAGGATGTGAGGCCCTCTCAATGGCCCTTTCATACCAAAGACCCCCCTCACCAAACCACGCTGTCTGTGCAGGTTGTCCGGTTACATTGTTCACTGATTTTAGTTGCGTCGCTGTGTTCAAAGAATCTAAGCAATTAACTTTAGTGAGTATAACGGCAAAACTTTGAGGCTAAAACCAGGAGTGACAATGCCATATATCTCTGTCATTAGTTACTGCGTAACACCAAAACCTCTTCACTGCGTCTCCATTTGTCCAGCGCTTACTCCGCTTCTCTCATTTCAACTCTCTCCCCTGCATGTTCAAGCCAAGAATGTTTCTGCCGTAGAATAAAGAAATTGACCTCCCTTAGATGTTAAATTAACAGATGTGGATGAGAACGCACATGCTCCTCATTAATCTGTTGCAACTACCTTACTGTTAATGACTTTGTGATGTTTACATGACAGGTATATTAACGTGTTTTATCTTTTTCATAATCGATTCTCATATACGGTCTATGGTCATAATCTTAAAAACAAGGCCGTTATGGAATCAACAAATATGTTGATGAATGAAGCCTAAAAGCCTCTAAATTGCACTGTATGATTTTGCTCTGGGACTTCTTCTTCTCTTCCTTCTCTACCACAAAGGTTTGTTTTGGTTAATTCAGATCAGACTTTTTCCATCACCTTTTGTATCCATGTTCTCATCCCTCTTTCCGTTCGTCCCTTTCCCGTCTTCCTCTTCATTTTGCCTCTTGCACAGGCCTCTTGTCCCGCTCTACTGTATAGCTCTTACCAGCAAAATGTCCTCCTTCCCTCTGACCCCTCTTCTACCGCTTTCCATCCATCTCTCTCCCTCTCTAGCGTCACCCCTCCCTCTCTGCCTCCCTCCAGAGATAATTACTACAAGCCTTGTGAAGATCAGCTTGTATTTAAACAGCTGAATAAGCACAGCCTGGGGTGCTGACAGTCACTATTCAACAATAGTCAAGTGAAACAGTGGAGCAGAAAGTAATAGCTTGGGTGCAGCTTTATAGGGCACATTTAAAAACATCGCCCTGCACTAACTGCTGCTTTTATTATTGTGTCCCCCATTAATGAGCATCACTTGTGGTTAAAATCCATCTCTATGTGGCCTCTGCCCTCTATTGTGGCCACACATTCAAGCTGATGTACTACATGCAAACATTTAGGTCACTGCTAATTGTTGAGCCAGTGTAGCATCTAGACAAACAAACCCGCTGTAGGACAAATATCCCCAAATTGTCATACGTGCAAGAACTTGCACACATTTTTGCATGGATACATCGGAGTATATCATAGTTATGTGTACGTGCTTTTTACAGTTTGGGGGAGATACAAGCTTATGTGGTGTATAACAAACAAATACACACACACACACACACACACACACACACACACACACACACACACACACACACACACACACACACACACACACACACCTGCTTCATTGTAAGTGGCAGAGAGCTTGTCCAGCATTTCTCTGTCCAAAGTCAGGATCTGCTGCTCCAGGATGGAAGGATAGGAGAGGCCGCCCCTCTCCTTCTTTTCATCTTTCTCCTTGTCTTTTTCTCTGTCTCGCTCTCGCTCCCGTTCGTAGGTCAGTAGCTGCTGGCGGAGCGCCTCGGGCAGGTGGGCTTTGGCAAAGTCAGCAGCAGCCTGAGAGCAGAGGGAGACAGAAGAAGAGTTATTGGGCTGCAGATAAAAATCTGTTTGGTCAAAAACCCTATCAGACGTGTTATCTAAAGACTGAAACCAGTGAAAGTTCTGTTGACCAGCACATCATTTAAGGCCAGCAGAGGTGTAATGAAAACCTGACAGACAATAATCAGGTTCAAAAGGAGTGATTACTCTGAGAGAGAGACCGTAAAAATACATTATAACATTATCGATACAGAATATTCACGTTGTGACATAGTGCCCATCGATATAGAAAAAAAACAACCGTATACATTAAATACACTTGCAGTATATTTGGCAAGTGGCATACACATCAGGTTACAGCGGCAGTAACCTGATTGTCCTTTCTTGCTTGCCAAAGCAGATGAATCAGAGATAAACAGAGATGAAGAAAGAAAAAAATGCATCGGCACTGAAATGCACACAAGCTCACACTTTTACACCCCGCTGTGGGATATAGAGCTGAGCCAGAGAAACTGTATCCTCACCTCTATCCATTTTACTCTACAGATAACACCGACTAAATCTGTTCTCACACATCCCCACCGGCGTTTCAGAGCAAATAATGCCTCCCCTCCGCTGGCTCACAGCCAAACAGGGAAGACAAGCCAGTCTAAGGTCACAAAGTTAAAAAAAAAGTTCCAAGTACAAATGTCAGATAATATTCTGCTGACATGCCACTGATCCGCAGCATTTATACTGCTCATATTTCATACCTGGTTTGTAAAGTCTAACTCGCCCGCAGTTATTAAAAAGCAGTGGATTAAGAAAAGAGAACGAGCCAGTTGAGACTGCAGAAGAGAAAATTCCTGCTGCTTAATATGATGATTGAGGTCATATGACAGAGACCCACAGATGAACCCTATGTCCCAAGTTCTCTCTCTCTCTCTCTCTCTCTCTCTCTCTCTCTCTCTCTCTCTCTCTCTCTCTCTCTCTCTCTCTCGCTCTCTCTCTCTCTCTCTCTCTCTCTCTCTCTCTCTCTCTCTCTCTCTCTCTCTCTCTCTCTCTCTCTCTCTCTCTCTCTCTCTCTCTCTCTCTCTCTCTCTCTCTCTCTCTCTCTCTCTCTCTCTCTCTCTCTCTCTCTCTCTCTCTCTCTCTCTGCTCAAGGAAATTACTTTCAAGAACCCAGATAACCCTGCATGCTCTGCTTCTTCTCTACACATGAAAACAACTCATCTACTTCTATTTCTTTCCAGTGTTATTGAAGCTTTTCTTCTGCAAGCTCCATCACACATCCCCCTCTATCTCCTCCAATGAAACACAAATGCTTCCAATTTTCCATTTCCCAAAGTCCCTTCTCTCTGCCTCCATGGTGACGTTCAGTCCAAAAATCACCATGGATCTTCCCGACACACTCCTCTCTCTTGTCTGAAGACAATCACAGCTGACATACCTTCATCCTGCGGTTATCATGCAGAAAGCGGGAGACATGCACTGAGCTGGAAGGTCATAAATAGAACAAGAAGACTTTTGTCTGCTTGGGTTATTGCTGTGCCAATTACCGAGCCGTTTAATTGTCTGCCTGTCAGTCCTTCACAAGGCACCGGGGTCACAAAGCCTCTTCCCAGCTACATTCCTCTAAACCATTTGACTGCGATCAATCTTTGTGACTGCATGTGTGTCACAGCTTGCAGAGACAGCCTTGACAGAATGGGAAGCGGAGGCCAAGTCTTGATTATCGGACAATCTAACCCGCCGGTTAACCCGATCGACACATCAAACACCTGGCTGCAGCCTGTGCACCGGCTTAGAGGATGAGAAGAGGGAAGGGTGGATGAGTGAGGGGTAGAAGGGATGGACGGGGATGAAGACTGTGGGATAGAGGGATGAAGACAAGATGACAAGGATCAAGCATAGTAATATGGTTGGAAGCAAAATGGGTGATGAGATTAGGGGTTGGCATAGGAGCACAATGGAGGAATGCAGAACCTGAATAAAATAGAGCTATTCCTGCCAAAAGAGACATAGACAGGGGTAAAAGCAGCAGATGTCAAGAACTAAAATGATTTGCATTCCAATGCACAGCAGTGGAGAAAGAAAGACAAACAAAAGATATATCTACATTCAGTGTCACCAAAACACATTGTGTGTGTCCTTGAGGTCTGAGAAATGCGTGGAATGTATTTGCAGAGCCTATTTTATTTATTAGTTTAAAATCATCCTTTCATCTTCGTTCCTGCCTTTGTTGGTGCACCGCTATGTTCGTTGGTGCGTTACCGCCATTGATCAGTGAAATAGCGTGAGACCAACAGCAGGATGTGAATTGCGCCGCCTGTGCTTGGTTGTGCGTACTCCTGCGCAGTGCAAACGAAACGGGGACCAAATTTGCAAAAAAATTGTTTCATAGCATATACAAGTGGTCAGAACTCCACAGTGTACATTAAACTACCATATAACCACAAAACCCGCAACAAAGGGGTGAGAGACATTGAGACTGAGAGTATTGTATGTCTCAACCTATTGGTGGGATTTTTGTTTGACTTTAAGCCACGTCGCAAGATGAATAACTGGACAACTGACGATTGTAAGTCAATCAGCTTCTAAATGCTCCACAATATTCACCAGATACAGTAGTATTTTACTTAATGAAATTCAAGAAAATAAAACAATAATAATGTTGAATAATGCCAATGTTTTTGCTTGATAATTGACTTAAACAATTCATTTCATATATCATCAAATTTGTCAATTTTCTCTGGATCAACTCATTGATTTCAAACCTTATTGGGAGAAATTGCTCTTTTGCAGTTGAAGTTACTATTGTGACTCCCAGTCCCAACACAGGAGAGTTGCCTCAGAGCGTCACATTGGGCTCTCCTTCACACCACACTTCACATGCACCGCACACGTGGCCACAAAAGGTCTGTATGCACACACAGTAAGTACAAAAAATAAAACACACTCACAAACGCACACACCTTCCTATCTCAACAAGGCCACCAGACGTTCACCCTTTCTATCATCTACCCCAAACACTCCCTCCTGCCTGCTCACTGTGAGCCACTCGGATGGACGGCCCAACAGAAATAGTCAGGTCTTTTAAACACTCCCATCAATCACATCGCCAGGCCGGCAGAAGTGAGGGAAGTCATCTGCGTTTTCCTTTAGAATCACCCTGAGGGTAGTTTCATAACCGAAGTAGAAAAATCTCTTTCTGCGGTCTCTCTGACAGATCAAGCAGGCAGATGGAGAGAAGAAGAAGAAGAAACAGCGGAACAGAGCGGGGAGAGACGAGGAGGAGACAACTATTCATTAGCATCACTCAAGCACATCATTAAAGAAAGAAAGAGAGAAAGAGAGACGGTCTCCCTGGGTTTAAGATAGAAGTGACAAAAAAAACATCAAAGCTGTGAAATACAGAGAAAGCAGTGGATACTAGATAATAGAAGAGGGAATCTGGAGGAAGATCATTTCAAAATATTTCTCTTTGTTGTTTTGATTTCCACAACTTTTAAATTATAATCACAGGGCTGATCTCTGAGGAGACTACATTCGCAATAGTCTCCTCCCAGTATGCGATGACTATAAACCTCTATGTGCTCAATGCTACGGACAGGAGGGATATCATTTGTCTTGACCTTACATAAATGAGGAAACAAATGGAGTATATTGACACCTAAACAGGGCAAAAAGGGCTGCTGCTCTAGAAACACTTGTGCTAACTGTGGAGGTGTAGTGTGTCTCTCCCCAGGACGACATTGCAGAGCTCAGTCTGTCCACGGGGCCGTGGAAAGCATGAACACGGAGCCCTAATTTAATTATGTCACACCTGAGCTTTGTATGTGCCAAGGCCATGCCAAGTACAGGTTTTGAGTGGGACTGTGTGTGTCTGTGTGTGTGTGTGATGGTACGTTGTCACCGTTTCATAAATAGAAGCCGTCTCATTTGTACTTAAAGAGGAATCTGAAGCAGGCTAACAAAACTTGGGTCTAGTACACTTGAACACACTCATCGCACTCAACTAAATTTAATTCTTGACATTGGAAACAACAAAACAACTTCACCCCAAGGTCCATTTAATAGCCGTTTTTTGGAGCTCAGCTTCAACACAGAAGTAGTTTAAGTGCATTTACAGTTCCGTGATAACTGAGCAAACTCCAGCTGCTGTGGAAGATCATTTCATTCAAAGCTCCAGAACAGCTACTAAATAGACATTGTGGTGACCTGTTGGCTTTAATTTGTTTTTATGCTGACTTATGTGTTGTGTATACGTATATCTTAAACTTGAGTTAAGATTTTCCTTTGTCAAATTATTCTTAATTTGTTCTTTTGCTAATTATAAAGTTTTGAGATCTTATTTTTCTTAAAGTAAAATAAATATATATTTTTTCTTTTAATCTGTTGTTGGGTCTATAAGCGCATTACATGTTGAGCCAACCAACATTTATATCAATATTTTTAAAAAGGCCAAAAATGTGTATTTTCACCTGTAAATTAAGCAATAAGGAAATATTTATATTTTTTAAATCAAAGTTGGCAGCGGAGTCCCCTCACCAATTAAAATATTGACCTATTTCCTCAAAGAAGCAACACTGAAAAATTGATTTTTTTTTCCACTTGTTTTTATGAAAACTGAGTACTGCGACTCAACATTTTGCTTCCTGTGCAGCGTGAGCCTGGAGCCAGATTGGAAGTGTTTGTGTGGCCTTGTGATCACCCCCTTTGCGCCCAAACACATATTTTACCCAGGCATCCCAAAACTATTTCACTTTCCCAGCTCTTAAATCTCTCCTAAAACCACAACAAACATTCTGAGCACAGATGGGCTGAGGGATGGAGGGCTGGGGTAGAGCGCCGCTGGTGGTACTGGGAACCTCACATCTCCTTTAGATGCCAACACACACAAGCACACATCGCTACATTAGCTCAAGAAACTTTCAAAAATAAACCACTCTGAGAGCAACCTCCATATTCAAATACCGGTCATGTCTCAGAGGGTATGTGTAATGACCAACACTGTGCTGCATGGCTAACAGCGT